CACTCCTCCTCGTTCCCTCCCACAGAGGCTCCCCTGCAGACTCTCCACCTGGACGTGTGGGGCCCAGCCCACGTCCGTGGACAGGGCCACGAGCGGTACTTCCTGCTGGTCGTCGATGACTACACGCGTTACACCACGGTCTTCCCCTTGCGCACCAAGGGTGAGGTCCCTGATGTTTTGATCCCTTGGATCCGCGGTGCTCGTCTCCAGCTCCGCGAGCGGTTCGGGACGGAGTTTCCCGTCCTGCGTCTGCACTCTGATAGAGGTGGGGATTTTTCCTCCGACCTCTTGGCAGCCTTCTGTGCGGAGCACGGCATCCGCCAGACGTTCACACTTCCGGCCTCTCCGCAGCAGAATGGGGTTGCTGAGCGCCGCATTGGCTTAGTCATGGAGGTCGCTCGTACCTCCATGATCCATGCGGCTGCCCCCCATTTTCTGTGGCCGTTTGCGGTCCGGTACGCCGCGCATCAGCTCAACCTCTGGCCCCGTGTCTCCTTGCCGGAGACCTCGCCCACACTGCTGTGGACGGGGAAGGTTGGCGATGCGTCGCGTTTCCGGGTCTGGGGTGCTCGTGCCTTTGTCTGCGATACCACCGCGGACAAGCTCTCCGCCCGCGCTGTTCCCTGTGTCTTTCTTGGCTTTGTCCCTGACGCGCCCGGTTGGCAGTTTTACCACCCCACCTCGCGCCGTGTCTTCCCCTATCAGGACGTCACGTTCGACGAGTCGGTTCCCTTTTACCGTCTCTTCCCCTACCGCACTGCCCCTCTCCCCCCCCCCCCGCCGCTCTTCCTCGCTCCAGGTGCTCCCCATGTAGACCCCCTCCCCGCTCCCGGTCCTGCTCCTTCAAGTGTGTCTCAGGTAGACCCTCCTCCCTTGCCTGCGCCGGTTGAGGTCACTGGTGACTCAGGTCCTGCTCGGGGTGCTGCTTCTGGGGGTGCTGAGACTGGGGGTGCTGAGCTTGGGGGTGCGGAGCCTGGGTTTCCGGAGCCTGGGGGTGCGGAGACTGGAGGTGCAGAGCCTGGGCGTGAGGAGTCTGGGGGTGCTGAGCCTGGGGGTATTGAGTCTGGGGGTGCTGCACCTGGGGGCGCTGAGGCGTCTGGTGAGCAGTCTCCCTGGGGCGGCCGTCTCCGTAGTCGCTCCGCTGGTACCTCGCCGCTGCACTCTCGTCGTCGACTCCCTCTCTCCCCACAGCAGCTGCGTGAGTGGTACGCTGACCGTCAGGGTCACGCTGCTGGAGCTAGGGGCCCTGTTGCGGGAGGCGCTGGAGCTGGTGACTCTGCTACTGGTGTTGTTTCTGCTGGAGGTTCTGGAGCTGCTGCGGGTGCTGGCGCTAGAGGTTCTGGAGCTACTGCGGGTGCTGGCGCTGAGGGTTCGGAGTCTGCTATTGTGCGGTCTCCTTAGAGTAGCCGCCTTCGTCCGCGTGTGCCTCTCACCTCACAGCAGTTGCACGACTGGTACGGTCGCCGTCAGGGTCGCGCTTCTGGAGCTCGGGGCTCTGCCGCTAGAGGTAAATCTGCTGGCGTCACTGGAGCTGGGAGTGGTGCTGGTCCCGGAGGTGCTCGTACTGGAGGTACTGGAGCTGCTGGGGCTGGAGGTGCTGAGCCTGAGGGTGCTGCTGCTGGAGGTACTGAGTCTGGGGGTGCTGCTGTTGGAGACACTGAGGCTGGAGTCTCTGGGACTGGAGGTGCCGGTGCTGAGGGTGCTGCTGCTGGTGGAGCTGGTCCTGGAGGAGCTGGCGCTGAGGGTTCTGGAGCTGCTGGAGGTGCTGGAGCTGCTGGGGGTACTGGAGCTGCTGGTGCTGGTGGCACTGCACAGCCGCGCCTGTTCTTTTCTCCTCCGTCTCCGTCGTCTCAGCCACCGCCTGACTCTGTGCTTCGCCAGGTTCTTAGTCTCCCTTCATCTACTGGTCTTCCGTTACAGCCTGGCTCACCACTGCCTGCTCCTTCTCCTTACACTGAGCAGACAGGGGGTCTTACTGAGCGTCGTGAGCCGGCGTCGCGTCGTGTCTCGCCTGTCCGTCCTGGTCGTTCCAGTCGTTGTGTTCCTCGTTCGCGTCTGCTGGCTGTCTCCGGCACCCACCTCGTTGTCCGTCGTCCTTCCTCTCCTCCGCAGCGTGTTCCCCTGCCGTCCCCTTCTGCGTCTTCTCTGCCTACCGTTCCTGAGCCTAAGTCTGACCGCACCCGTGCTGCTCACTCTACTGTCACGCGTCTGCTAGCCACAGTTGTCACTGACCCGTCGTTTGAGTCTGCTGCTGCCTCTACCTTAGTCACTGAGCTTGTTGACTTTGCTGCTGCATGTCGTCTAGACTACGCCGCTAGTCTTGTTGCTGAGTCTGAGTCTATCTGTCCTCCGTCCGTCGGGGGTGAGTGTGCTCTTGGCACGGACGTCCTTGAGGACAGGCAGGAGGACCTCGAGTGTCTTGCAGCCGCTGCGCCTCATCTCGTTTCCATGCTGCTTGCCCCTGAGGGAGACCCAGATGCACCAGACATCCCGACCCCGCGCTCTTACACTGAGGCGATCGCGGGTGAGTACTCCTCTCAGTGGCAGATAGCCATGGACGCAGAGATGGCATCCTGGAAGTCCACAGGCACTTACGCCGACGAGGTTCCCCCTCCTGGGGCGAACATCGTCAGTGGCATGTGGATTTTCAGGGTGAAGCGGCCGCCAGGTTCTCCGCCTGTCTTCAAGGCTCGTTACGTTGCACGAGGTTTCAGTCAGCGAGAGGGAGTAGACTTCTTTCAGACCTTCTCCCCCACCCCGAAGATGACCACTCTTCGGGTACTGCTACACGTTGCCGCTCAGCGTGACTACGAGCTTCACTCTCTTGACTTCAGCACAGCTTTCTTGCAGGGCAGTCTGCACGAGGAGATCTGGCTGCGCCGCCCTCCTGGCTTCACTGGGTCGTTCCCTCCTGGTACCCAGTGGAGCCTCGGACGGCCGGTCTACGGTCTCCACCAGGCGCCACGTGAGTGGCACGACACACTGAGGACTACACTTTCTGCTCTTGGGTTTGCTCCGTCGACTGCTGACCCGTCGCTGTTTCTGCGCACCGACACTTCGCTGCCGCCGTTCTACATCCTCGTGTACGTCGACGACTTGGTCTTTGCCACTGCTGACACTGAGGCTCTCGCTCTGGTGAAGTCGGAGCTGTAGAAGAGACACACGTGCACAGACCTGGGTGAGCTGCGCAGTTACCTTGGCTTGCAGATCACCCGGGACAGAGCACGCCGCACCATCACACTGACTCAGTCACACATGGTGCAGCAGGTCCTTCAGCGCTTCGGCTTCACCTGGTCCTCGCCACAGGCCACTCCTCTGGCTACAGGTCACTCGCTCTCAGCTCCACCTTCGAACGAGTCCGTAGAGCCGAGTGGTCCTTACCCAGAGCTAGTGGGCTGCCTCATGCACCTGATGACCTGCACTCGTCCTGATCTTGCGTACCCTCTTGGCCTTCTGGCTCGCTACGTGGCTCCTGGTCGGCACAGAAAGGTGCACATGGATGCTGCTAAGAGGGTACTACGCTACTTGTGCAGTACATCGGGCATGGCGCTCGTGCTTGGAGGACGGAGCGACGTTGTCCTCACTGGGCACTCAGACGCTTTTTGGGTTGACGACCTGGCTACGCAGCGGTCGTCACAGGGTTACACCTTCAGCCTTGGCTCTGGTTCAGTTTCTTGGCATTCTACACGCTCGTCCTCTGTTCTCAGCTCTAGTTGTGAGGCTGAGATCTACGCCACAGCCATGGCTGCACAGGAGTTACGCTGGCTCACCTACCTGCTGACTGACCTGGGAGAGCGGCCTCGTTCTCCTCCAGTTCTGTACGTAGACAACAAGGCCGCCATTGCCTTGTGTCAAGAGCACAGACTGGAGCACAGAACGAAGCACATCGCTTTGCGTTACTTCCTTGCTCGAGAGTTGCAGCAGCGGGGTCAGCTTCGCCTTGCTCACATGGCCACTCGGGCCAACACTGCTGATATATTCACCAAGGCACTTCCGTCTGGTGACCATCAGCGCTTTTGTACTTTGTTGGGCCTTGTGCCTACGTTTCCACACTTGCTGTAGTCTCTGCTTGTACTGTGATCTATATATATATATACCTGCATGCTTGCTCTTGCTAGGTAGAGATCACTGTGCTGTTCTTGTTGCTTATATACCTCTGCATGTGGACCGGCCTTGTGGCCGTTTGCTTGTGCTCAGTGTGTGTGGTGACGTTGTGATCCACCCTGAGCTGTGTTTTGTTTCTTCTCTTGACTGGTCTTGTGACCATTTCTTCCTCTGGCTATCCCCCATTTCGCCTATGGGGGTGTGTCAAAACATATGCATATTAGTATCTAGGCTATATTGGGGCTAGCCTTAGGGGGTACAGAAACATTCTTGACACTCTAGTCTTGTGCCCCAACCTTCATCTAATCACACACAACTCCATGCCTAAGATTTTAAGAAAGAGCTCGGCGAAGCATGGAGTTGCCGTTGGGCTCGACATCACGCCGTCGACCGGAGCAAACCCGCCGTGTGTCTCGTGTGTCGGAGGGAAGCTGGCGCGGCACACCTTCCACGACAAGGGCTCGGACGCCGAGGAGGCACTGGCTGTCGTGCTGGACAGACATGAATGCTGGACAGACATGAATGCTGGACAGACATGAATGCTGGACAGACATGAATGCTGGACAGACATGAATGCTGGACAGACATGAATGCTGGACAGACATGAATGCTGGACAGACAAGAATGCTGGACAGACAAGAATGCTGGACAGACATGAATGCTGGACAGACATGAATGCTGGACAGACATGAATGCTGGACAGACATGAATGCTGGACAGACATGAATGCTGGACAGACATGAATGCTGGACAGACATGAATGCTGGACAGACATGAATGCTGGACAGACATGAATGCTGGACAGACATGAATGCTGGACAGACATGAATGCTGGACAGACATGAGTGCTGGACAGACATGAGTGCTGGACAGACATGAGTGCTGGACAGACAAGAATGCTGGACAGACAAGAATGCTGGACAGACAAGAATGCTGGACAGACAAGAATGCTGGACAGACAAGAATGCTGGACAGACAAGAATGCTGGACAGACAAGAATGCTGGACAGACATGAATGCTGGACAGATATGAATGCTGGACAGACAAGAATGCTGGACAGACAAGAATGCTGGACAGACAAGAATGCTGGACAGACAAGAATGCTGGACAGACAAGAATGCTGGACAGACAAGAATGCTGGACAGACAAGAATGCTGGACAGACAAGAATGCTGGACAGACAAGAATGCTGGACAGACAAGAATGCTGGACAGACAAGAATGCTGGACAGACAAGAATGCTGGACAGACAAGAATGCTGGACAGACAAGAATGCTGGACAGACAAGAATGCTGGACAGACAAGAATGCTGGACAGACAAGAATGCTGGACAGACAAGAATGCTGGACAGACAAGAATGCTGGACAGACAAGAATGCTGGACAGACAAGAATGCTGGACAGACAAGAATGCTGGACAGACAAGAACGCAGGGAATGCAGGATTGAAAAGGAGGAGGGGCTGAGTGAGACTGACCGTCGGTGGCGATCTCGTGGGGCTGCACCTGGTGGCCCACAAACACCTCCAGTGACACCGTCTCAAACACCGGCGACCTGCCACCCCCATGCAGCACAGAGGGGGGGGATGAAGGGAGGGAGGGAGGGAGGGAGGGGAGGGAGGGAGGGAGGGAGGGAGGGAGGGAGGGAGGGAGGGAGGGAGGGAGGGAGGGAGGGAGGGAGGGAGGGAGGGAGGGAGGGAGGGAGGGACGGACGGACGGAGGGACGGACGGACGGAGGGAGGGACGGAGGGAGGGAGGGAGGGAGGGAGGGAGGGAGGGAGGGAGGGAGGGAGGGAGGGAGGGAGGGAGGGAGGGAGGGAGGGAGGGAGGGAGGGAGGGACGGAGGGAGGGACGGAGGGACGGAGGGACGGAGGAAGGGGGGGAGGGAGGGAGGGAGGGAGGGAGGGAGGGAGGGAGGGAGGGAGGGAGGGAGGGAGGGAGGGAGGGAGGGAGGGAGGGAGGGAGGGAGGGAGGGAGGGAGGGAGGGAGGGAGGGAAAGAGGGAGGGCGACATGTTAGGTTGTTGTTGGAGCCAGGCCAGCATGTACCATGCCACTCGCATCCCCCCCGTGCCACTCGCATCCCTCCCATGCCACTCGCATCCCTCCCATGCCACTTGCATCCCTCCCATGCCACTCGCATCCCTCCCATGCCTCTCGCCCCTCCCATGCCTCTCGCCCCTCCCATGCCTCTCGCCCCTCCCATGCCTCTCGCCCCTCCCATGCCTCTCGCCCCTCCCATGCCTCTCGCCCCTCCCATGATCTCGCCCCTCCCATGCCACTCGCATCCCTCCCATGCCTCTCGCCCCTCCCATGCCTCTCGCCCCTCCCATGCCTCTCGCCCCTCCCATGCCTCTCGCCCCTCCCATGCCTCTCGCCCCTCCCATGCCACTCGCATCCCTCCCATGCCTGTCGCCCCTCCCATGCCTCTCGCCCCTCCCATGCCTCTCGCCCCTCCCATGCCTCTCGCCCCTCCCATGCCTCTCGCCCCTCCCATGCCTCTCGCCCCTCCCATGCCTCTCGCCCCTCCCATGCCTCTCGCCCCTCCCATGGCTCTCGCCCCTCCCATGCCTCTCGCCCCTCCCATGCCTCTCGCCCCTCCCATGCCTCTCGCCCCTCCCATGCCACTCGCATCCCTCCCATGCCTCTCGCCCCTCCCATGCCTCTCGCCCCTCCCATGCCTCTCGCCCCTCCCATGCCTCTCGCCCCTCCCATGCCTCTCGCCCCTCCCATGCCTCTCGCCCCTCCCATGCCACTCGCATCCCTCCCATGCCTCTCGCCCCTCCCATGCCTCTCGCCCCTCCCATGCCTCTCGCCCCTCCCATGCCTCTCGCCCCTCCCATGCCTCTCGCCCCTCCCATGCCTCTCGCCCCTCCCATGCCTCTCGCCCCTCCCATGCCTCTCGCCCCTCCCATGCCTCTCGCCCCTCCCATGCCTCTCGCCCCTCCCATGCCTTTCGCCCCTCCCATGCCTCTCGCCCCTCCCATGCCTCTCGCCCCTCCCATGCCTCTCGCCCCTCCCATGCCTCTCGCCCCTCCCATGCCTCTCGCCCCTCCCATGCCTCTCGCCCCTCCCATGCCACTAGCATCCCTCCCATGCCTGTCGCCCCTCCCATGCCTCTCGCCCCTCCCATGCCTCTCGCCCCTCCCATGCCTCTCGCCCCTCCCATGCCTCTCGCCCCTCCCATGCCTCTCGCCCCTCCCATGCCACTCGCATCCCTCCCATGCCTCTCGCCCCTCCCATGCCTCTCGCCCCTCCCATGCCTCTCGCCCCTCCCATGCCTCTCGCCCCTCCCATGCCTCTCGCCCCTCCCATGCCTCTCGCCCCTCCCATGCCTCTCGCCCCTCCCATGCCTCTCGCCCCTCCCATGCCTCTCGCCCCTCCCATGCCACTCGCATCCCTCCCATGCCTCTCGCCCCTCCCATGCCTCTCGCCCCTCCCATGCCTCTCGCCCCTCCCATGCCTCTCGCCCCTCCCATGCCTCTCGCCCCTCCCATGCCTCTCGCCCCTCCCATGCCTCTCGCCCCTCCCATGCCTCTCGCCCCTCCCATGCCTCTCGCCCCTCCCATGCCTCTCGCCCCTCCCATGCCTCTCGCCCCTCCCATGCCTCTCGCCCCTCCCATGCCTCTCGCCCCTCCCATGCCACTCGCATCCCTCCCATGCCTGTCGCCCCTCCCATGCCTCTCGCCCCTCCCATGCCTCTCGCCCCTCCCATGCCTCTCGCCCCTCCCATGCCTCTCGCCCCTCCCATGCCTCTCGCCCCTCCCATGCCACTCGCATCCCTCCCATGCCTCTCGCCCCTCCCATGCCTCTCGCCCCTCCCATGCCTCTCGCCCCTCCCATGCCTCTCGCCCCTCCCATGCCTCTCGCCCCTCCCATGCCACTCGCATCCCTCCCATGCCTCTCGCCCCTCCCATGCCTCTCGCCCCTCCCATGCCTCTCGCCCCTCCCATGCCTCTCGCCCCTCCCATGCCTCTCGCCCCTCCCATGCCTCTCGCCCCTCCCATGCCACTCGCATCCCTCCCATGCCTCTCGCCCCTCCCATGCCTCTCGCCCCTCCCATGCCTCTCGCCCCTCCCATGCCTCTCGCCCCTCCCATGCCTCTCGCCCCTCCCATGCCTCTCGCCCCTCCCATGCCTCTCGCCCCTCCCATGCCTCTCGCCCCTCCCATGCCTCTCGCCCCTCCCATGCCTCTCGCCCCTCCCATGCCTCTCGCCCCTCCCATGCCTCTCGCCCCTCCCATGCCTCTCGCCCCTCCCATGCCTCTCGCCCCTCCCATGCCTCTCGCCCCTCCCATGCCTCTCGCCCCTCCCATGCCTCTCGCCCCTCCCATGCCTCTCGCCCCTCCCATGCCTCTCGCCCCTCCCATGCCTCTCGCCCCTCCCATGCCTCTCGCCCCTCCCATGCCTCTCGCCCCTCCCATGCCTCTCGCCCCTCCCATGCCTCTCGCCCCTCCCATGCCTCTCGCCCCTCCCATGCCTCTCGCCCCTCCCATGCCTCTCGCCCCTCCCATGCCACTCGCATCCCTCCCATGCCTCTCGCCCCTCCCATGCCTCTCGCCCCTCCCATGCCTCTCGCCCCTCCCATGCCTCTCGCCCCTCCCATGCCTCTCGCCCCTCCCATGCCTCTCGCCCCTCCCATGCCTCTCGCCCCTCCCATGCCTCTCGCCCCTCCCATGCCTCTCGCCCCTCCCATGCCTCTCGCCCCTCCCATGCCTCTCGCCCCTCCCATGCCTCTCGCCCCTCCCATGCCTCTCGCCCCTCCCATGCCTCTCGCCCCTCCCATGCCTCTCGCCCCTCCCATGCCACTCGCATCCCTCCCATGCCTGTCGCCCCTCCCATGCCTCTCGCCCCTCCCATGCCTCTCGCCCCTCCCATGCCTCTCGCCCCTCCCATGCCTCTCGCCCCTCCCATGCCTCTCGCCCCTCCCATGCCACTCGCATCCCTCCCATGCCTCTCGCCCCTCCCATGCCTCTCGCCCCTCCCATGCCTCTCGCCCCTCCCATGCCTCTCGCCCCTCCCATGCCTCTCGCCCCTCCCATGCCTCTCGCCCCTCCCATGCCTCTCGCCCCTCCCATGCCTCTCGCCCCTCCCATGCCTCTCGCCCCTCCCATGCCACTCGCATCCCTCCCATGCCTCTCGCCCCTCCCATGCCTCTCGCCCCTCCCATGCCTCTCGCCCCTCCCATGCCTCTCGCCCCTCCCATGCCTCTCGCCCCTCCCATGCCTCTCGCCCCTCCCATGCCTCTCGCCCCTCCCATGCCTCTCGCCCCTCCCATGCCTCTCGCCCCTCCCATGCCTCTCGCCCCTCCCATGCCTTTCGCCCCTCCCATGCCTCTCGCCCCTCCCATGCCTCTCGCCCCTCCCATGCCTCTCGCCCCTCCCATGCCTCTCGCCCCTCCCATGCCTCTCGCCCCTCCCATGCCTCTCTCTCGCCTGGTACCCATCCAGCCCACAGCTCGTTGGCTGCGTCACCGCGAGTGCCTGCCGTCGTCCCTCCCACCTCCACGCACCCACGTGCTCCACTCTTCCCACCGCTTTCTACTCCATCACAAACTCCCTCCCCCATGTCCCCCCCCCCCCCTCCCACACCCCCCCCGCGCACTTGTTGGTGAAGCAGAAGCGGTAGTCGCCCTCGCGCTGCGACATGAACTCGAACTTGCCCTGCGTCTGCCCCTCCGTTGAAAACGCCGTGTACCCGTCCGGGTCGCTGATCTGCGCACCGCACACAAGGGGGGAGTGGAAGGGCGGGAAAGGGGAGGGAGGGGAGGGGATGAGGGAGCGGAGGGGGGAGGGGAGGGGGGGAGGGAGGGAGGGGAAGGGGAGAGGGAGAGGTGGGGGGAGGGAGGGGAAGGGGTGAGGGGGGGGGGGTGGAGGGGAGGGGGGGAGGGAGGGGGGGAGGGAGGGAGGGGGGGAGGGAGGGGGGGAGGGAGGGGAGGGGTGGAGGGACGGTAAGATGGTGGCTCGGGGCGAGTGAGCGTAGAGCGCAGATAAGAGTGAAAGCACGCGCCAGTGGCTCGTGCTGTGATCGGTTGAGCCGAACGTCACTCAGTGCATGAGACTCACCACCACGTCCACGCCGTTCGCTCCACTCACCACTAGGTCGACGCCGTTCTGCTCCCAGTCGCCCCACGCGTCGGCGCTGACAACGACGAAGTTGCCGTGAACGACGTCGCCCACCCAGTTGACGTACTCCGTCAGACACTCTTTCCGGTCCAGCGTGAACCGCACGCCGCGCGCGCCGCTGCTCGCCGACAGCACGAGCACGAGCAGCAGCAGCTCGCGAAAACACTGCCGCCGCATCCACCGCCGCAGCCGGGGGAGGGTGCAGCGATTCGGCCTTGAAGGCATCGGGCTCCCACTATGTATTATGCTCAACCTGAACCAAAATCGAGAAATGGTGCCGACACTTAGACCAGGAGTGATGTGCTGATCTTGAACTCTTCACATGGTCAGCACAGGAGCGTCAGCATGGTCCGTAGATGGCGAGGGGTTCGACCAGCTGTTTGAACAGAGATTGTGTTCGCAAACTCTTCGCCGGATACGCCTGCATCGCAAACAGCTTTTCGCCAGTTGCGACGGTAGGATAAATACACAGACACTTCAAGTCCAGCATCACACGACGCGTATACGGTACAGTTACGAGTGGGTATTTGCTACAGTTATACGATATGATATTACTGCTCTAGAATTATCTTACTCAGAGTCCTCTCTATCACACAAATCTGTCTGTTTTTCTAAGATTTCAAACGGATTTTTATGCGTTTTTTTGGAATAACAGGAATATTATTCAGACATTCCTGTAAGTTGTGCCGATAGAGCACGAGCTCATATAGAGCGCGCGTAACTCCCACTATTGCGAAGTGCCCATATAGGAGCACGCGATAGTGCAGAGTGTTATGAATAGTAAAATATTAAAAGTCACTGTGCACTCCTGACAGTAGCAATCGGGTCACACGGCAATGCGTATGAAGATGAACAGGCGGAATGACCGATGAGTCGCGCACCGTTACGGAGAATCCGGATCGTCAGGGCAGACAACATCAGGCAGCAGCAGTGTCGAGGATTCTGCCGGAACAGTTCGTAACCTTCTAGAGTCGCACGGTTGGATTTTGCTGTAGTAAGGGAATGTACCCCTTAGAGTATATGGCTAGCTAGGTCGTTCGTTTCGTATTCCCCTGTACTCTTATTTATACGAATGTATTTGCGTGCCTTTATCATGTCAGTCATTTTATATTCACATTAATCTCAGGTCAAGGGCTCACCACTACCACACATTCTCTGCGTAACTTCATGAGGTGATCCTAGGCACGATCTATATTCTGATCGCAACATGGTATGAGAGCGACTATGGGAACCTTCGCATTGCCACCTCCGAAAACATCAGCGAACTGAAGTGGCGTCCGGCACACGCTCACGCGTAAGGATGGCCAGAAAATGTTGAGGTCAGACAAATCTGACCGCTGAAGCGCAGTCTAATCCGGCTGCAACAAACGAGGAGACGACGGCGATCGGCACCGCCGCCCTCGCACAACTGCTTCAGCGACTTTCAAATTTGGAGCAAGGGCTCCAAACATTACGGAATGGCGACGCGGGAACATCTTCCCAACCATCTCAACCGGTCGCCAACGGCCAAGATATTGCCCCGCACACCTTCTCTCTCAACAGAAACGGCTCAACACCCAAGACTCCCCGTCCCGGCAATGAAGCAATCCTCTCAGCTCAATCAAGGTTATTGAGCATATAAAAAAGAAAGACAAGTGCGTGCTTTGACGGCAAGAATTTCTATACCCGAAGCTTCAAGCTGGAGCTACTGCTGCAAAACGCACAAATATTTCATTATGTCGGCGGGAGCTACGCGGGAACCACTGAAGACACCGTTGACGCCAGGACACAATACTACAGCGAATCGCTGATGTCGTATGACATTTTAGTGCGCAACATGTCACCGGCGGAGCAGCTAGGAATTCGCTCCTACAAAACTACCTCTGCTCCTACACTCGACGTCTGGCAAAACCTCGACGACGTATACCAACCGAAGGATTCGTTCTCATCGAGCCGCCTACTCCAGCAGCTACTAGAGACAAAAATGGCCCCTGGAGAGAAGGCCAGCAGCTACATCTGTCAGAATGTTATTATCTAGCCTGTAGTGGGGTGCTCTATAGCGGGTACAACCCAGTTAGGGTTTGCTATATGTATCCCAACTGCTGCTAGTGAAATCCCCCTTTCTGTTTCTAAAATTTGTACTGCTACTTTTGACATGGTTTTAGAGCAGGTCGACCCCCTTGGGTCGATCCTGTGGGTGGGCCCACCACCTAACTGCTTCCGCTGCTACTCTGTCTGTTGCACGCCCCGTGGCGTGCGACGCCTTCTTCCTGCCGCCGTGCGCTCGGGGCACGCGGCGGTTTTCTGCCCGCCGTGCGCCCCGAGGCGCGCGGCGGTTTCCTACCGTGGGGGACCCGCGCGCAGCCCCCCGCCCTTCCCGTCGCGTCGCCCTGCCGGCCGTGCGCAGGCCTGCAGGCCGCGCGCGGCCCGTCTGCCCGTCGCGCGGCCTTGGGGACCCGCGCGCGGCCCCCGCCCTTCTTGTCGCGGCGCCCTGGGGAGCCGCGCGCGCCCCCCGCCCGTCCGTCGCGGCGCCCTGGGGAGCTGCGCGCGCCCCCCCCGCCCGTCCGTTTTGGCGCCCTGAGGAGAGACGCGCGGCCCCTCCTGTACCGGCCCCCCCCCGTGCTGCCCATTCCTCCCGTGCCGCCGTGCGTTCCGCGGTGGTGGGGGGTGTGGGGTGGCGAGCATGGGGGTGCGCGGTGTGGGTACTCCCCTTCCCTCTCCCCACCTCCTTGTTTGTCTCCCACTGCTGCAGCTGCTGCTGAGGGGGGTGGAGGTGTGGGAGCCGAGGGGAATGGCGCTAGGGGGGTGACGTGGGAGTGGAGTTAGGGGTTCAGCAGGGGGTGTGTGTCAAGGGTGTGGGTCATTTGGAGGAGGTTGTGTGGAGATAGCTGTCGTGTCGCCTGCAGCGCCTGTAGTCCGTCGCCGTTGCTTCGGTAGCCAGTGAGCCTGTTGCACCAGTCGCCAGTGGGTCCGTTGCTCCTGCCGCTCGTCTTAGCCGCGGAGCCAGTCACTCCAGTAGTCCGTCGCCCTTGCTTCGGTAGCCACTGAGTCAGCCGCTCTTGTGCCCATGCCTCTGCAGCTTCAGTCGTTGCCTCCCATCTTCTCTCCTTCCATAGTTCCTCCTCCTCCTCACTTGCCCGCTGTGATTACCTCTAGCTTTGCTTATTATTGTGAACTCCTGCTATGCCTGCTCATTGTGCTGATTACACCCCACTTTGGCTATGGGGGTGTGTCAGAATGTTATTATCTAGCCTGTAGTGGGGTGCTCTATAGCGGGTACAACCCAGTTAGGGTTTGCTATATGTATCCCAACTGCTGCTAGTGAAATCCCCCTTTCTGTTTCTAAACTTTGTACTGCTACTTTTGACAACATCAACCGTTGCCAAAGCTTACGCGATCAAATCGCAAAACTTGGAAGCACGAACTCAGAAGAAATATTCGTTAATATCGTGCTCGCAGGACTCAGCCCAGAATGGCGACCCTGCAAGACGCTTCTCCGGCAATAGGTTGTCAAACTCATATGCTATAGTCTGTGTAGGCTGTAGTGGGGTAGACAATATGGGGTACAACACTTTTAGGTTTTCCTACTTGTACCCACCTGCTTGCTAGTTCATCCATTCCTTCCTCATTTCTTCACATGGTATAAAGCAGGTTCCCTAGTGGGAACGCTTCCTTGGGCCCACCACTGATTTTTTTTTTCTGACCGAAGCGCGAGTCGCCCCTGCCCGAGGCGCGCCCCGTGGGCCGCCCTCTCGTCGCGTCCCCTGCCCTTAGCGGCCCGTCGCGCCCTTCTCGAGGCCCCTCTCACGGCCCCTCGCGCCACCCCTAGCGGCCCCGTCGCCGCCCTTAGCGGCCCCGTCGCCACCCTTCGCGACCCCGTCGCCGCCCCTATCGGCCCCGTCGCCGCCCCTAGCGGCCCCGTCGCCGCCCTTCCCGGCCTCGTCGCCGCCCCTATCGGCCCCGTCGCCGCCCCTATCGGCCCCGTCGCCGCCTCTAGCGGCCCCGTCGCCGCTCCTACCGGCCCCGTCGCCACCCTTCGAGGCCCCTCGCGGCCCCTTTGCGGCCCCGTCGCCGCCCCTAGCGGCCCCGTCGCCGCCCCTATCGGCCCCGTCGCCGCTCCTAGCGGCCCCGTCGCCGCCCCTATCGGCCCCGTCGCCGCCCCTAGCGGCCCCGTCGCCGCCCTTCACGGCCCCTTCAGCTGCCAAGCGGCCGAACCACCGAGCCGCCCAGCCGCCGAGCCGCCCAGCAGCCGCGCCGCCCAGCAGCCGAGCCGCCCAGCAGCCGAGCCGCCCAGCAGCCGAGCCGCCCAGCAGCCGAGCCGCCCAGCAGCCGAGCCGCCCAGCAGCCGAGCCGCCCAGCAGCCGAGCCGCCCAGCAGCCGAGCCGCCCAGCTGCCGAGCCGCCGAGCCGCCGTCGAGCCGCTACTGTTCCTACCGGCGCGCACCGGCCCTTCCCACCCGGACTGGTGAGAGCACTCCCTGTTAGACCACTGCTGTCATGGCTACCCCCAGTGTCATTACCTTTGATGCTGAGGGTCGTGCTGTTGACTTTGAGGTCTGGGTCGATGACCTCCAGCTCTTCCTACAGTGCGATAGGGCAGACGGACTCTCCCTGTTTGATCTCACTTCTGGTGCCTCTCCTGCCCCGCCTGCTACTGCTGACAGCACTGTTCGCTCACAGTGGGCCACACGCGATGCTGCTGCCCATCTTGCTGTGCGTCGCCACTTACCGACCGCTGAGCGTGCGCACTTTAGTCAGTACAAGAGTGATAAGACCTTGTACGACGCTGTAGTTGCACGCTACTCTTCCCCTACCACTGCTGCTCTTAGCCGCCTCATGCTGCCGTACCTG